TTGGCACGTATTCATAAATTATGGTAAAATAATAGGACTTTAATGGAACCAGGTAAGTAATGAAACCGGAAAAAAAAATGATCAAATCGTAATTTTTACCGATAATTGGAATTTTTTTATAAACAAATTTTAGTTTGGGATTTTTTGGTAAACTATGGTGAAATATTAGAACTTTTCCGGAGGTTTTCCTATCTTATTTTGAAAACATTATTTTTTTTATAAACAAAAATATTTATCTTAATCAATTTTAAGATGAAAAATTAAATATCTTCATATTTTTTTATCTATTTTTCTGCTCATAGAAATACAAAATAATAATGTATGAAATATATTAAATTCTTCATCTTCTTAATTTGACACTTGTCTTGATCTAGGAAATAGAAAAGTAGATAGAAACTTGCAAAATATTTATTTTTAATTTACCTTATTTTTGTTACCTTAATAAAGTAATTTTAAACGTATTTATTTTGGGCCTTTTATTTACCCTTTAGCTACTTTTAACTTAGAGAGTTTTCCAATTTATAGTCTTATTTACATTTTTTTTTGTATTACACAGTTTTCCTTCAATAATGTTCTCTTTAGATTGTTATTAGTTTTCATGGTATCAAATGTTATCCGATCCAAAATTAATTTCTTTTTTTCATTTTATAATTGTAAATCGATTTATTATTGTTCGTTGAAAGATAAAAAAAGGGTATTGTTCGTCGTGGGTTACTATTTATCACTAATGTTCATCAAAGATACTATTCATTGCTCGGTATTATTCATCGACTCGGTACTGTTCATCAAAAAAAAAATTGTTTTGGGCACCAGTTGTTCGTTTGGTCACTGTTTATCGATGTTTGGTAATTTTCGTTGTCTTTTTCCATTTGTTGATTGTTGTTTGTTTGCTGTGGTTATTGTTGGTATTTATCCAAAGAATATATCAGCCCTCAAAGTTTATTTTGATGAATGTGCTTACTACACACAAAAGAACCATTTGAAGTCTCAGTGCCCATTGTTACTGAACAAGGCAAAGCAGCAACAAAACAGACCATCTGGATTGTTTTCGCCATCATTCCATCCACGTAACCCTTGTACTCCACATTCTATTGATGTTTCACATCTAGTATAAACTACTCTTCATGTACCACCACGTCATCATTTGAGTTGGATCCTCAAGTTTTTGAACAGTTCAGATAGTTCCTTGCTTACAATTACGCAACTATGTCTGCATCTACGTCTCATTTAGTTATTTCTTTATCTTGTTCTTTAGGTATTCTTTCATCTTTATAGATCTTGGATTCTAGTGCATCTCATCATATGATGTCTTATTTTTCATCATTTATTTCTTTGTCTCATTGATCGCCCATTCCAATCATGCTTTTCAATGCTACATCTATGCATGTAGAGGGTGTTGGTTCTATTGTAATCCCTCATATATCACTTACTAATGTCTATTATATTCTCACACTTGCTTTAAGCCTTGCTTCAGTCAATATGTTGTGTAGATACGGTTATTGGGTTTTCTTTTCTAATTCTCTTTGTTGTGTACTTGATTCACGCTCCTAAAGGGTGATTGGGGCTGACGGTAATACAGGAGAGCTATATGTCTTGGATCAATTCAAAGTGTCGGATGTTGTTGCCAGTAGTATTAATTTGTCGTCTTTCCATTTGAGTCATTCGTCTCATGTTTTTTTTTTATCTTTGGCATTCTCATTTGGGCATGTGTTAGCTTCACGTTTATAGTTTCTAGTATCTATAGGTGTTTTGGGCTATTTGAATAGTTGTGATATTTCTAATTGTAATGATTGTAAATTGGCCAAATTTTCTAGGTTTTCCATTTACTAAACGTGTGTCTTTCTCTTTTTCTCCTTTTGATCTTGTGTATTTTGATGTATTTTGTCTCCCAGTGTCTTCAAAAGGAGGATCCACTTATTATGTTTTGTTTATAGATGATTATACTTTCTATACTTGGGTTTATTTCATGAAGCACATGTCTAATTTCTTTATAATCTACAAGAATTTAGAGCTCTTGTCAAGACACAACATCTAATTGTTATAAAATATTTTGAATGTGACTCGGGGGGTGAGTATACCTATAATGATTTTCGCACAACCACTCTCATCTAATGGAACCATACACTATTCTTATGTACAGATACTCCTCAACAAAACGGTGTCGCGGAGAGAAAACATAGACATATTTTTGAAATTGTCCGATCTTTGTTACTATCATATGACATTCCTAGGGTTTTTGGGGAGAAGCTCTCCTAACTACTTTCTACGTTATCAAATAAATCCATACTTCACATAACTCTGGTATGTCTCCATTCAAGAAGTTATATGGTTGCTTACGCGATTACTCCTTATTACGAGTTTTTGGGTACACCTGTGTTGTTCTCCACCCTCATGTTGAGCGGAATAGGTTGTCTCCATGATAGCCTTATGTGTTTTCTGGGATATGGTATTTTTCAGAAAGGATATTGTTACTTTGATCCAATGAGTCAAAAATTGTATGTCCCACGATATGTCTCTTTTTTGGGGCATATCTTGTTCTTCTCCATTCCTGCTCACCCGTATGACCTAATAAAGTCAAATATACAAGTTATTGATCCTATTAATGTTGAAAACGATGATATTAAATCTGATGACTAAGTACATGATACACCTACAACATCAAACATTATTCTTGTTCCACCTACTCTTTAGACTGGTCCTCAACCTGTTGTGACCATGGGTCTTCCACCACTTCGTAAGTCCACTCGTACTCATAAGTCTACCAACCTCCCAGAGTTTTCTTATTCATCCTATTTGGATTTTTTTACTTCGTTTATTACCAATATACATAATCCTTTTGGAAAAATGATTTGCCTAAGAAACTACGACTCTTCACCACACTCATACGTGGGATCTTGTTCCACTCCCACCTAAAAAGCATATGATTGGTTGGCGTTGGGTATACAAGATTAAAACAAAGTCTAAAGGGTCAGTTGAATGGTACAAGGCCAAACTTGTTGCAAAAGGATACTCACAAAAGTATGGTATGGACTATAAAGAGACTTTGCCCCAGTTGAGAAGATAATGAAAAGTCATACTCTTATAGCAGTTTTATTCATATGTTAGTGGAAGATTTTCCAAATGGATGTCAAGAATGCGTTCTTGAACTGTGATCTTCATGAGGAGGTCTACATGGCTCCTTCCCCAAAGTATTGCTCACCAGCTAGGTAAAGTTTGTTGACTTTAGAAAGCTGTATATGGTCTCAAACAAGCTCCTCAAGCTTGGTTTGAGAATTTCTCTACAATTATTACTTCTATTGGTTTTGTTTCTTGTAATCACAATTGGCATTGTTCGTTAGATGTACGAGTGTAGGATGCATTCTCTTATCCCTATATGTGGATAATATGATTATTACTAGTGATGATGATAATAATATTGAGTCTTTAAAGTGTGATTTGGCTCATTGATTTGCTATGAAAGACTTAAGAATGTTGCATTATTTTTTTGGGTATTGAGGTTTCTCAATCTTCGAAGGGTTATTTTCTATCTCAGTTGAAATACATATCCGATCTGTTTGAATGTGCTCGGCTCACTGAAAAAATGATTGTTGATACACCCCTTGAAACCGATGTTCGGTATTTTACAACTAATGGTGTTCCTTTTTCAGATCCGAGCTTGTGTCATATTATTGTGGGCACTCTAGTTTATCTTAATGTCACTTGCCCCGACATAGCTTATGTAGTTCATGTAGTTAGTCAATTTTATTACAGCTCCTCCTACTATTTAATGGGGAGTTGTTCTTCGTATCTTGAGATATCTTCATGGAACTCAGTTTCATAGTCTCTTGGTCCCTTTGCACGTCTTCACTAGAGTTGCATGCCTACAATAATGTTGATTAGGATGGTGATCCTAATGATCGCAAGTCCACGACAAGGTTTTGTATTTTCGTTGGATATTCATTAATCTCATGGAAAAGTAAGAAACATGATGTCTCTAGTTCTTCTATAAAGGCTAAGCATCATGCTATGGTTGTGACTAGTTATGATTTGATTTGGTTAGGATGGCTTCTTGCAGATATGAGTGTTGTCATTTCTCAGCCTGCCACCTTATATTGTGACAACAAAAGTACGATGCATATTGCGAAGAATTTTGTTTTCCATGAGTAGACAAAACATATTGAGATTGATTGTCATTTCACTCGTCATTACTTGTAGCTCGGGACTATCTCGCCACCATATGTCCCATCAACCTTACAGATTGCTGATTTTTTTTCATGAAGGTTCAATCGACATCTCAATTCTGTTTTTTGTCTGACAAACTCTTGGTATTTATTACGGTCACATTGTGAGTTTGAGGGTGATGTTAGTTTAATAAAATATTTTTCGGGGCTTATTTATATTGGGTCTTTTATTTAGCCATTTAGCTAGGTTAATCACACATAATTTTTCTATTGTCTTATTTACCTTTCTTTGTATTACATAATTTTCTTTCAATAATAAAACCGCAGCCGTTTTCTTTTTTAGATTGTTATTTGTTTTCAATTTTAAATGCATTTTTAATAAAAATATTAATCTTAACCAATTTTAACATTAGTTCAAGAAATTCACAAGTTTTATGTCAGAAAATCTCAAACCTTTTTTCACAACATAAGTAGTCATTTTGTGATTTTAATTTTAAAACATTGGTTTCAATTTTATATGGTAAGCTTCCAAATACAACATTTTAGAGAATACCTCATAGGCATCACTAGATATTATTTCAAAATTGTAAACTAAAATACCGAACCATTTTTGTTAAGTAAAGCAAATTTAGGAGATTACAAACACTTATAACGGGCCTTATAAGTTTACCCCTATAACTTAAAATTAACCCATTTCTGCATATAGATAAATCAAAATATTCCACTCTCGTTTCCTCAAACTTCAAAAAAAAATTTAAAAACATTTATATATTTACTCTAAAGATTACTAGATGTATAAACTACATACAATCTCATTGTAAAAAACATTTGTTTTTCTAAAGGCTATACATTGCAACAAACATTTTAACTACACATACACCGCAATTACCTTACTTTATTAGTGCTAACAACAAGATTACCAACAAAAATCCCCCCAAATTTTATGCCACGTCAGCATCCAGAATCCGGTCAACTAATTTGATGCTGCCCTAATGGTGTGGGGTCCACCACATCAGTTATGAGCTTGTAAACCACTGCAGTTCGGGCAGGTGCATACACCATAAATGATCGAGGTCGGTTATCATGGTTTCCTTCCTACAAAAAAAAAAAAAAAAAAAAAAAAAAAAAAAAAAAAAAAAGGGAATAGAATCTGTTAAAGGATTTGGAATCCAAAGAAACTTCAACTCTATAATATTGGTATTTTGGTCTTTTAATAAAAGGGTTAATCTCAAAAAAGACCTTATATTTTGTGTTTTCTCCGGATTAGACCTCAAATTTATTTTGTCTAAACAAGACCTTGTGTGTTTTCATTTTTTCGATCTGGCCCTTTTAGTCATTTTTTTACCAAAAAAATTGTGAAATGTGAGGGTTTTTTCGAGAAAAGCTAAAAAAGTTAGAGGGTTTATTTGGAAGCATTTAGAAAGTTGAGGGTTTTTTTTGGAAAAAAATACAAAGTTGAGAGCTTTTTCGGAAAAAATGAAAAAATACAAGGTCTTTTTCGGCCAAAAAATAAATTTGAGGTTTAATAAAGAAAAAACACAAAATATAAGGGTTTTTTTTAGATTAACCCTAAATAAAAAGGTAGAATAGAATTGAAGGAGTCCGACGGAATTGGATTCCGTCCATATGGCAACCAAACATGCCTTGGAATGGAATCTGGAATTCCGATTCCGTCGGATGAAACATTTTGAATTGAAATTACTTACAAAGGTGAAAAATTCTGCCTCATGGTCGAGTCTATCGAAGCCTCCAAATAAGCTATCATCAGAGTCTAGGGCAATCTGAAAAAATGTATAGTTAGAATAGAATGTGTATTTTTTTTTTTAAAGTAATTAGAATCAGAAATAAAGTATCGGATTAAATGCAAGGAATACTTTTATTTATTTGTGTATTACATGTTCCTAATTTCATTCTTTCCTATTAACATCACTTGTACTTACAATTTTTTTTTTTTTTTTGACATAGGGTTAAATGCAAAAAACATCAATATACTTTCATTAAATAGTGTATTAAAAGTAAAATGCTATAATTTGCTACATTTTTCAAAGTATGATGCCTTAATAAGAAAAAAAAATTGGAAGTAGATTGTTGTAATAGAAAGAAAAGAGAGTAGAATGCTATAAAAAACAAATAAATGAAATATGTTGCTATTTAGTCCATTTAATCTTTAATTTCTCATCAGGAAATTAAACTTTAAAAAGTCTACACACTTATAGAAATGGAAATTATTTTGTATTTGGGTAAAAAATGTCAAAGTATAATGTTGATATAGGAAAAAAAATACATTGTTATTTCTTGCATTTAACCCTTAAAGTATCAGATAATCAGTTAACTTTAATATTTAATTTTCTGATTACTTTGACACTAAATATTCAAAAAAATCGGATAAGTATAATTTACAAAAGCATACCTTATACTTTCCGGGGTGTAAACATCCGACCCTGTAGTCTGAATAACTGTTATACCAATGGAAATTAAACACGAAAACCAAGTCTTCTCTTTCAAATATAATTACTTTTTCGCCCTCGTGTTTCCTTGATATATATTGGTGTCCTGAAGTCATGAACTGCACAATAGCAATAATAGCAATATATTTTACTTTTACACATAATAGCAATCTAATCTATTTTCAATAACAAAGATGTGGAGGGCATTTAGGTCTTTTGCACAATCCATGTCCCACCTTTTTTAAGTAGGACAAAAGATTGCAACTTTTGTCTCGACATGATAACAAATGGGGCCCACAAAGAAAAAAAATGAAAAATTTAAAGACAAATTTACTTACATTATGAGCTTCTTCAAGATGTTGCATAGCCTGATCGAATTCTTGCAATCCATGGTATCTTAAATAATCGGCATCGCCCTATGAATATGAGTGAAAAAGGGTATTTTGGTAATTTGATGAAAAAGAAAAACGGAATGATGAAATCCATTAAACATGAAATTTAAAGGATTCGAGTGAGGAATTGAATTCCAATTCCATTTGGCAGTTAAACATGCCATGGAATGGAATCTCAATTCCAATTCCAACCTTCTGAATTACTTAATTTAAATAATTACATGATTAATTTAATTAGTGTTTATAGATTATAATCATATTTAATATATTAACTGATCTTACCAGATCAAATCTTCGCCTACACTTATCAAAGCTATTACCATTCCCAGGTATAAACCTTCCATCTGGAAGCTGTTGATCAGCTCTTGGAAAATCTATCCACTCTGATCAAGGGGCAAAATTGGAATTTAACATATTTACATTTTACCAATATGTACTTTTATTGTTAAAGAAACATAAGTATGTTGATGCTATTCTTTCTAAAGGGAATTGTTATTATGGATAAAGAAATGTAGGTATACATACATATGTTGGTATATTATATATTAAGAAGGGTAAAATGGTAAAATACATACCAGGATGCCCAAATTCATTTCCCATGAAATTTAAATATCCTTCTCCACCTAATCCCATTGTAATAAGACGTATCATTTTATGCAATGCAATTCCACGATCTATAAGAGGAGTTGAAGGTCTATCTAATGCCATGAATTCATACATATCCTGTGTCAATTCAACAAAAATATTATTTCAATTTAGACTCAACTTCATGAAAATAAAAATAAAAAATAAAAAAAGCACTTTCACTTCTTTTCTAAATTGGTAAAAAAAAAACGTTACTAAAACCATTTATGCAACAGTTAAATACTTATTTATGCAACAATAATTCACTTTCTAACCAATTTATGCAACCACAATTTTCAACTAGTTAAACAGATTACTTATAAAGTAATGCATATTTCATATAAAAAACAGTTTGTTGCATAAACTGTGAAAAAAAAATACAAAGTTATTGATAAATGAACATTTAGTCCTTTTTGAAAATCGTTATAAAAAGGGTTAATCTCAAAAAAGACCTTATATTTTGTGTTTTTTCTGGATTAAACCTTAAAATTATTTTTTGATTGAAAAAGACCTTGTATTTTTTCGTTTTTTCCGAAAAAGCCCTCAACTTTGTATTTTTTTTTTCCAAAAACCTTCTAAATGCTTCAAAATAAATCCTCAATTTTTTTTAGCTTTCCTCAAAAAACCCTCACATTTTACAATTTTTTTGGAAAAAAAAAAGACTAAAGGGGCCAGAAAAAAATGAAATAATACAAGGTCTTTTTCAGGCAAAAAATAAATTTGAGATTTAATCCGGATAAAACACAAAATATAATGTCTTTTTTAAGATTACTTTACAGTTTCCGTATCAAAGTTACCCAAAACAATCAAAATTTTGAAATGCACAATGGTAAAAGAGTATTTTATTTGAAAAAAAAAATAAATAATAAATAAAATAGTTATAACCTTATCCATAAGCCAAAATGCAATAGTTTTATCACCAACTAAAGCTTGATCATGACTTTCTGCATAACAAACACACTTTTCTGACCATCTTCTGTTAGTAAGTGTGTGAATTATATCTCCCATTTTCCAATCTTCATCCCTTAGCCTATGCCAAAAATAATAAATAAATAAATAATAATAATAATAATAATAATAATGTTCAAAATGCAATTTTTTTATGGTCATATATAAGTTATATGTAAATATTGGCTAGTAGTATTAGCACTCCTAAACCTAATACTTTCCCAAAACTAAAGGGAGAATTCCATCTATAGATTCTATATCCTTGTAAACTTTTATAATTACATCTATATCCTTGTAAAATGTCAAATTACATATATATCCTTAAAAGTATGTTGCTATTATGAGTGAAAACTATAGGTATATTTATGTGTAAAAAGACAATATTGGTAGGAAGAATAAAAGGGCATTGTTATTTCACATAAGTAGATGCCCAAGGGGTAAATTAGGAAATCTATAAACATCTATTATCCATATGCACACATTCATCTTAACACTTTTTCTCTTATCTCTTTCATCTTTTCTTTCAACATCTATCCATAGAATGAAGTGAAGAAATCATAATCAGAAAATCATAACTAATTATTGCAATATGAAACTTTTTACTCATAAGAAAAGACATAAAAGAAATTAGAATTTTAGAATTTTGCATACTTAAGAAGCTCAATCCACTTATCAGCAACTGCCATATGCAAACGATAATCAAATCCCACACCACCATCTTGTACAGGAATACAAAATGTTGGCATTCCACTCACCTGCAAAAAAGTCAAAGTCAAACTTTGCATAAAGCTTTACACAAATTATCTCATTAAGTGTTTAATCAGATAGATGAATTTGATGTCTGTCTAAAAAACAAAGTGTTGTATGAACAAATACATGATCCTTCTAGGGCTGAATGAACCGTGTCTAAATGACCATTTTACCCTTATAACTTAGATTGAAGATAATATTTGATCACAATATAGGATGAAAAGAGACATACATCTTCACCAATGGAGATTGCTTGAGGGAAGAGGCCATGAATAAGATCATTAACAAGCATCAAATAAACCACAGCATCAACATCAGTTGTTAACCCAAAATACTCACTGTAGTTTCCAGTAAAAGCTACCTAAATATAATAAAATGAGTTTAATTACAAAATTAGCTTTGATTTGATACACTCAATACTAAATGCATATAATTAAAGGCTACTTAAATAGCAACAGAGTTTCATTAATATCTGTATTATATACTACTACTTCCATTTCTTCCTATTATCACAACATTATACTTTCAATTTATTATCTTTCTAGGACAAAAGTCTACCCAATCATAGCATTGACTTTTCACTTTTCTTTTCTTATTACGAAATTAAACACTGAAAAATCTATCCAATTATTGTAGGGAAAGTTGCTTTTGTATTTGAATGCCACTGGTATAATTTGGTAGGCTTTTCAAGGGTTTTATGCAGAAAAGTCTCATTATTTTGGGAAAACTTTTGATAAAGTTCTAATTTTTTTTTTCTTGAACAGAAAAGTCCCAATTATTTAATATTTTTCCCAGATTAACGAAAAAGTCCTTAGTTTTATTTTAACAGAAAATGAAAGATTATCGTGTAAAATCAAATAATCGGGACTTTTCTGTTTAATAATTTAGGACTTTATTAAAAGATTTCCCTAAATAATGAGACTTTTCTGCATAAAACCCGACTTTTCAAAGTAGAAATGAAAATAGAATGCTATATATAATATTAATAAACCGATAAAGAAAAGTACTTAACATCTATTACAACATTTATTTGTGTATTATAGTATTCTACTTTCATTTATTCCTATTACAACATTAGTCTTTCAGTTTTTTTTCCTTATTAAAACATTACACTTTGAAAAATTCATTGTATTATACACAATGCACTAATTTACCTGTAAACCATGATGTGTATACATCATTGAAGTGACTCCATCAAATCTAAATCCATCAAACTTATATTCATCCAACCACCATCTTGCATTTGAAAGAAGATATCTTAACACCTGAAAAAACATTGATTTTATGTGCTAATAACAAATGAATTCATCATCAATTAAGTTTTTTTTTTTTTTTTTTTCAAAATTTTACCTCCCAATGTCCATAGTTAAAAAGGCGAGAATCCCACATCCAATGATAACCCCTTTCTCCAGAATGAAAGTATTGACTATCAGTTCCATCAAACATATTTAAACCATCTAATGTGTTGTTTGATGAATGACTGCATTTAAAAAATTAATTCATATAAATAAATAATAGAATCAAATTGGTAGATACCATATTACTGAAAGAGGAAAAAAAAAAAGCCTTCAGTTTTACTTCATTTGTTATCTTATAATAAGATGGGGTAGATTTAGACATGTTTATGTAAAAGTGGGTCAATTTCGGTTAAAAATACAAAAAACAAAGTAAAATGTAATAATTGTTGGGTTTTATGCAGAAAAGTCCCATTATTTTGGGAAATTTTTTGATAAAGTCGTAAATTTTTTTTTTTTTTGAACAGAAAAGTCCTGATTATTTAACATTTTGCCCTAATTAACAAAAAGTCCTTTTTTTATATTAAGAAGAAATGACAGATTATGTGTTTTTACCGAAATAATGGGACTTTTCTGTTAAAAAAAAAAAAAAGATTTAGGACCTTATCAAAAAAATTCCCAAAATAATGGGACTTTTCTGCATAAAAACCAAATAATTGCTTAACTATTTTTATAGTAATTAAAAGATTATACTTTTTTTTGACCATTTAAAAGAACATTTAACGGTTACCCGGTTTTTAAAAAGTCTAAATTACAAATAAGCACAACTTACCTTTACCATTTTGTACATTTATTTATTATAAAAATACTTCAGTGGCTAAATTGATAAAATGGGGGAAATGGTTATTTTTCAAAAGGTCAAAAAAAACTATATATGTTTAATCACTGCAGAAAATGGTCAAGTGGTCAAATGATATTATAAATTTGTTAGCAACTTAGATAACCACATTAATAAGCATAGTAGCAGAAATTTTATTTTGTTTTTCAGGTAAAGATGGCATAAAAAAAATTAGTAAAATTTAACAATCATATAATACTTACCTATGCACAATATCCATGAGAACAACTAGACCTAATTCATGTGCTTTATCAATCATTGATTTAAGATCATCTGGAGTTCCACATCGACTACTAGGTGCAAAAAAATTTGTCACATGGTACCTATTTCATCAAACAATATATTCAACTTTTCATTAAACACAGTATAACAATAACAATATCAGATGAACAATAACAATAACAATAATAATAACAATAACAGAAACAATAACAATAACAATGACAATAACAATAACAGATAAAGAAGTACCCAAAGCTAGCATAATATGAATGCTCTTGAATAGCCATGATTTGAACTGCATTGTAACCGAGTTTTTTTATACGAGGGAGAACATCGTCTCTAAAGTTAGCATACGTGTTGATCATTGGTTCCTATAAAAAAATATATAAAATACAATCAATATTTGTGATAATAACTTATCATTTACATTCATAACACATATTAACATCACATCCTAACAACATTAACGCTAAAAAACCAATGTGCCATGTTTGGTTCATAGAAGGAATTGGAATCTCAAATTCCATTCAAAGTGCCAAACCATTGGAATTGAATTCCGGAATTCAAAATCCATGTTTGAGGGAATTTATCATTCCTAGGGATGGAGTTGTAGAAAGTGAAATTCATTGTTGAATTTTTCACTAAAAGACCAAATTGTCCTTATAAATCCATTATAACACACACATATTCTTTCTTTTTCATCGTTCTCTTTTCGCCTCTATCAACCAAACACAAGAAAGATTACAATTCCTTCATATTCCAATTCCTTTAACGGATTCCATTCCTTCCAATAAGTTCAATAACAACTTTTTATTTTTCATTTTTTATCTCTTATCTAACAACACTACAAAACAAAAGATTTAATCTATATAATCATTAGAGAGGAGAAAGAGATACACACTGTACTACTCATTCCCACATGTGCCTCATAAATCCTAAGAGATTTCGGCTTCTTTGGTCGTGGATGTTGAAACACGTATTTTTCCTATTAAAAATTTTCACCATATCATCAATTATCCATAACAAAATGCAATTAAAAAAATAATTATTTAAATTTTAAATGATAAATACCTCTTGTGGTGGATCATAGTATATTCCATTATAAGGAATCTCACCAGGTGCCTGTACTGAAAACTTTATCCAAGCAGGAATCGAGTCTTTGATGCCAGATGGCGTTTCCATACGAATCTAAAATTTGTCATAAATATTCATATAATATAAAGATTGACTCCATTTATTTATAAAACAATAAAACAATTGTGAATTTGGTTACTAGAATATATAGTGACATTGTCCCTTTGATGTTTCAATATCTTCACTACATTGGAACAAAACTAAAACTTGGGTACTATTTAATGAAACTTCTTTAATAAGCCTGACACATCATATGTCCACATCAGCAACAAAATCATGCCACGTCATCAAAAATATAAAATTTTACCTTTACTCGAGAACCATGAGGAATAGGTGAAGAATCATCAACATTGTTTGGCAAAAAGATCTCCCACACACCAAATTCATTCTGTTTATAATAAAAATGGCATCAGAAGTTACAAATTATTCTCCATTTATCGCTTAAAAAAATCGAATTTTGATTTTTGGAGATTTAAATCGCAAAATATTCCAATTTAAATATGTTATAATTCAATCAATAATATATTACATACCCGGGTCATAACATCAGCATTTGGATTCCAGTTGTTGAAATCTCCAATAAGTGAAGCAGACTAGAATTAAATAAACATAACTTTAGTTAAATTAACATTTAGAAAAAAAAATAAATAATAAAAAAATGTATAAGGTACTACTACAAACATATGTATATAAATATATACAAATAGCATTAGGGTTTTATACAGAAAAGTCTCATTATTTTGGAAATTTTTGATAAAGTCCTAATTTTTTTTTTTGAACAGAAAAGTCCCGATTATTTAACATTTTGCCCAAATTAACAAAAAGGTCCTTTTTTAATTTTAACAGGAAATGACAGATTATGTGATTTTCCCAAAATAATGACTTTTCTGCATATAAACATGATTTTAACAATTTTATTTGTATTATTCCCATGTCATTTAGAAGAAAGAAATAGATATAATCACTTCATTTCTCAATTCTAAACATCTTTATATAATTATTGTAACTTCAATTTTCAATAATAATTAGTTTAAATTCAGAAAAAATAACAAACCTTTGCCCCAGGTGCCCATTCTCTATATGTGATACCTGTTTTGCTGAAAAAATAAACAAAAATAGAATCAAATACAAGTAGCAATTTCGACCCGTTTACCTTAAACGGGTCGATTTGGGTTATATTTTATCTTCAATAGGTCAAATTAGTAAAACAAAACGGGTGAAATGGGTTGAAAGTTTGACACTTAAAAGGGTTCCATAATCTTTTTGACCCTAAAAAGTCAAACTTTCAAGATCATATCGCGAAATCACATTTTAATTTGTTATTTGTATAACATTATATGCTTCAATGTAATAAACTAATAATTATATCACCAATATTTATTTATAAATATAAATATAAATATTAAATACCTTCGAGTGAAACCTAATTTCTCATAACCACGTGAAAACGCCTCCAAACCACCTTCATATTTGTCAATTGCTTCACGTATTTTCTTGTAATGTGAATATCTGTATTAAAATGAATACATAAAGCAAAATGATTATTAAGTATTAAGAAAAAAGGCTAAATGAATATTGTACTTTCATTTATTTGTTGATTAAAGCATCCTACTTTAATTTCTTTCTATTGCAACATTGTACTTTAAAAAATCTACCAATTTATAGCATACTTTCGGTTTTTTTCTTATTAAGACATTTCAAAACTTTTTTTCTTATCAAGACATTTTACTTTCAAAAATCTACTCAATTACATCATTGCACTTACAGTTATTCTTAGGGAAATCTACAGAAAAGTCCTAAACTTTTGGGAAAAGTTTCAAAAAAGTCCTAATTTTTTTAAACAGAAAAGTCCCATTATTTTGAGAAAATCATATAATCTGTCATTTGTTGTTCAAATATAAAAAAAGGACTTTTTTGTTAATTTGGGCAAAATGTTAAATAATCTTTTATGACTTTATTGAAACTTTTCCCAAAAGTTTGGGACTTTTCTGTAGATTTCACGTTATTCTTATTAAAGCATTGCTTATTATAAAATCTACCAAATCATAGCAATGAATAGTGCTATGTATTTGAATGATATTGCAATAGTTGATTAGTTGGATAGACTTTTCAAAGTAGAATGTTGTAATAGAAAGAAATGAAAGTAAGATGCTTTAAAAATTAATAAAAATAAAAATATCTCACCTATATTCAAGATGTTCACGATGATTGCTTAAAAGTGGATCAATTTCATATATTCTTTCCCCTTTTCCAGGAGGAGGAATCGATAATTTTCTAATTTCTTCACTTTCTTTATCAATATCAAATAAAGAAACTAAATCTACTTCCTCCATAGCTGCAATATCTTCAACAAGAACTGGTGAAGCAACAAAATCCTTTTCATTCATTTCATCAAGTTGTTCTTCATCAAGATTTATCTGAATCAAAGAATCAGAAAGCACCATGGAAAATGTATGAGGAAAAATGATTTACTTAAATCAAGTATCAAACAACTTATCTCTTAATATGTTTACAAAAGTAAAGAGCTTCAATTAGAAAGTTAGAAAGAACAATAAGATTTTATAAACATATACTTGATACTACTATTATTTTCAAATTCGTTTACAAATAGTGTTATAAGATCTAATAAAATTATAAGTAACATTTCAAGAATTAGTCTTGATTACAATTGTTCAAGTCAAAATCGACATAAACAACCAAAAACTTTATACAAAAGATAAAGAAGCAAAATGCATATCATTTTCCATTTAAAAACATTCCTCCCGAAAGTTTCCACGGGTGTTATAATATCTTATAGTGTAAAAAACTACAAATGAAAATAAAATTTTGTTATTTTGGTGGAATAAAAATTGTTCTGATAATACAATTACATACCCTAATTTGAAAATGTGAATGCATGCATATAAACATACTTTGGAATGTTCAGAATCTGCATCAAGTGCTTCTAATTGCTCAGTTGAAGAAGAATTATCAATCACTTTCTCTGTTGCACTAACTATAAATGATTGGGATTCAGATCTTCCAGCTATAAACTTCCCTATAAAGAAAGATCAAATTACACAAGGAAAACATATATGAGGGCAGATTTGTAAAAAGTTTGGACTTAATAAGTTGTTCTTTTTGTATTAAGTAAGAAAAACACTCTATATATAGTTTACAGGATTGAGTTATATCCCCATTGATCCAATCAAAACCTTAAAAAAAAGAACAGAATATTTCAATTTCATATAGTGAATTGTTCATAAGATTGAAAGAGTAGCATAATAGTTGAATAAGATACAATTGTTTATGTGGAGATTGTTTGGATGTGAATTTAAACTGATTATTATGATTTGACTTCAAAGTAATCAGCTTATGATTTTGAATTTTTTATTATTTGATGACAAATGATCCAGATATGGAGATGTGCAGATATGAATTTGCTTTAAGAAAATTAACTATTGAGATAAATGTAGAATTACCTAACTAGCCCTAGTGGTATACACCTAATTATCTGATTATGATTCTTTGGAATTTGCAATAATCACTTTGAAAACGCCCCTATGATTGTGTATTTGTTCGCATAAAAACTTGCAAACATTCAATCAAAATCGCTAACAAAATGCAATGTCAGATAGGAAAAATTAGGATTTGAAGAAAGGTAGTTCTGTATGCGAATACTATTCCACCATTAATGTCGACATAATTTATGTTTAGACTCGCGCATTCATAACATTCGATCGTCAATCAAACAAACCACTAAATGCCCACTTCAACATAAGCAGAATAAAACAAATCGACAAATCGAGACCTTCACTTTACAAATATAGCAAAAACGAGAACCCACATCGGTGAAAATTCAAATATTTAATACCCAGTTGAGCATAAGCAAAAAGAAACGAAAACCCATTTTTCAAGCACACAATTAAGCATAAACAAGTGGAGACGGAAATCCCAAAATCATCAAAACAGATTTCATGGATTGCATGCTTGAAATGAAACACTTACGACTTAATGAACTTTTCCTCAACAAGAGTGACAGATTTGTAGAGCTAGAAGCAGCAACCGTACTCCTCCGATCAGCACCAGAGTGTGAAATTGATGGAAGAGTATTCAATCGAATTCCAGGCAGTGTATAAACCATTTTTCTTGTATGGTTTCTGGATTAATAATCAAGAAACAAGAACCCTTTGTGAGATTTTAGATCTATAATGGGGTAGAGAGTCACAGAGTTCTAGGCGCCAAGAGAACCGTGATAAATTAACTGATGCATCAGCATGTGAAAGTGGATGGGCTTCGGCCGTGTTGCATCATGCATGGAGTGATGGAGATTTTGCAATCTGTGCATATGTGGGGCCCATTGTGGGTTATTTTGGATTCTCCATTGTTGAAACTTGAAACTTGAAAAGTTACTTGTATGGCCCATTCACATGGGGGGACTAGATGAGATATGAGAGGCCATTACACAAAAGGTTTTTCCCTTTCACTTGATTTAGAAAGTTTTTTTTTTTTTTTTTTTTTTTTTTTTTTTTTTTTGCCTTTATGAGAATATGGTAGGATATTCTTTCACTTAGACTACTAGGTGGGGTAACATGTTATTACATGTTATCACACCTAAATTGTCCATCTCATCATCCTAGTCACAATTTGGTGTTATAACACCAAAGGTGGAAATGGGCAACACCAAATAACATGAGATAACACATTGTATTTTTCTATTTTTTTTTAATTTTTTTTTTAATGTTTTTAATTTCTATTATTCTAATTTGTTTTATTTTCTTTTACTTCATATATTTCTAATTCGTTTTTTTATGTCATATATCTATAAAAAACATATAAATTAATAAAACATAATTTCATTAAATAGTAAATTAAAAATACCATACAAACAAAAAAAAAACATTGAAAAAAAACACACGATAGTCCTAATAATTAAAAAAAACACCAACAAACTATTCTTCGCCCAAGTATTTGCTCTCGATCTTTGCCTTCATCATCCGTATCACTTCAGCTCGTCTCGGTGGTAAATTTGCTTCGTTTGTCGTAAGAACTGTCAAATCCTTCGATATACGATCTTCTTCGGCTTCTTTACGAAGGAAATCCAAATGCTCCCGTTACAATTCATATCTTTTATTTGCGATTTCCGTGTGGGCGTCGAATTTTTTTTTTCATTTCGTCGTGCTCTCGAAGCCGACTTTCATTCTCATGCACATGTCGTTGCGCGCGCTTGGCTTTGTCGCGCCCCATCGGTCGTCGTGGCGGAGAGATTTCCTCGATGTCATCAAACTCGTCCGGGATGTCATCGGTGTCCGCGTTGAGGTCGATGTTCGTGTGTCCGTCGGAAACGTCAACCGAACCCGAACCACGAGACCTCTTTGATTGTTGTTCCGATGATGTTGGCGTTTTTATCCATTTTGGATCTTTCCTCACTATGTCCCATACTTTTTCATACTCAAATACGTGCCCCATTTGCACGTGATATTCCTCCATCGCGGCTCTAAACACATCGAAATCATTGGCACCACTTTGACGTTGCGAAGAAAGTTTGTTGTATATGGAATTGAATTTGGTGCACTTCCGACTAATTTGAGTCCATTTGCCACTAAGCATATCATTATTGCGATATGTGTCACCCTTGTTCAAAATTGTGCGGAATTTGACGATTACGGCATCCCAAAAAGAAACTCTCTTCATATCGTTCCCCATAGTTGGTTGTTTTGAAGTACCGCACCAAGCCTCCGCCAACGCATGCTCTTCCTCCGGTGTCCACCATGTTGGAGGTGCTTCCGTTTCATCTGTCCCGACAACCTCTTTCCCTTTCTTTTTTGGTCTCCCTTTTTTCCCGATGCTCTCTGACTACCCCCGGTTTGCGTCTCGACAACGGGTTCTTGCGTGGGTGTGGGTTGTGTGACTGTTTGGCGCATGGGACCGAATGTGTTAAAAAGGTTTTGTTGAATGTTTGCATTTTGTTGCATAAATGGCGAGGTAGGGAATTGTAGTGGGGGTGAGGCAGGATTGAAAAAATTGCCGGAATATGGAATTTGTGGTGAGTTTTGGGAGGTTAGAAGGTTCATGTATCCCTCATATCCCGCAAAACCTAATGGAGTCGATGTGTTTGTCTTCGGAGGAGGGGTATTCGGGTTTTGATCTATAGTGGTTTTTTTTGTTTTGAATGAAATAGAGATAGAGATAGAGAAATAGAGATAGATATAGAGAAATAGAAGTGTAAAAATGAGGTATATGTATTGATATAGTTAATTTTTTAAGTAGTAAATTTTTTTTTACATTCACCGTATTAAACGGTAATATTACCGTTTTTCAACGGAACCAAATGTGCAACGGTCAAAAAAAATGGCGTTACCATGGTCACGGCTAATGGCGTAACGCCCCATAACGGCGACCTGGGGCGGTGTTCCGCGTTATGGCGCTGTTAAGGCGTGTGCCACGTCAGATAATGCGATGTCCGCGTTGCCCACACCCGATCGTCTAGAAAGATATACTGTCATAGTTAATGTGAGTTTGTAAAATAGATGGTTCGGGTAAATTTTTAGGATGGATCATAACATGTATATTTACTTGTTAACACTTTTATTGTCCATAAAAAACTTTTTTTTTCATGATGAAACAAAGTAGAAGATTATAAAACTCTTGCATATACTTTGTGATGGCTGTTTTTTCTTTTAGTTGTATTTATTTTATCTAGTATCAATAGGTTTAATAACTAGTGGGATATCCCTGTGTTGTGACAGATTTATTAATCTTATATTTTCAACATAATTTCCATAATATTTTCTTATATATGGACCATTTCTATAATTTCACTAATACACCAGAAGCATTACGTACAGGTATCATTTCTATAATTTGAGTATTACATTCTCTACTTTTGTAAATTACAGTGATTTATTTCTATAATATTGGTATTACATAAGACCATATATGTAACTTTGTCTTACATGGGACCGTTACTATAATTTTATCTTCTATATAGACCATTTTTGTAATTTGCATATTACATAGGAATTATTTCTATAGTTTACACATATATAGACCATTATATAAATTTGAAGGGATTATGTCTATGTTTTTCTAAAACATAAGGAATAAATAAAACTTGATTTTTACACGCGGCTTTTATAATTTTCTCAAGTATGAAAACCATTAGACAATTTACAAGGACTATTTATACAACTTTCTCAAATATATGGACCACTAGATAATTTTACAAGAACATTTAAATTTTTTAAACACAAGGATTAGTTTTTTTGTTTTCTAAAATATAAAGACCATTAGATAATTTTATAATGATCATTTTGTGAAAATTTGTGAAATTTGTGAAAGATAAGAACTCTTTAAAAATTTGCAAAAATATAATAAAACAATAAGGCATGAGCTCCTAAATTTGCCAAGGTAAATGTATATATTTGCCAAGGTAAATGTATATATCTGATATAAGTGGTTGAAATTATACATGTATTAACCAAGTATTAATTTTTCAGAAATGTTAAAAAAATATAAATACTTAGCCAAATTCTATGAAAACCATTAATTTGGTTTTTTTCGATTTTATTATAAAAAAAATTAATTTGATCATTGATAGTTTGTTTTTTTTTTTAAATAATTTGCTAACTAGTTATAAGGGATTTCTGATAACCATAATACATTTAAGTATGTAGAACAACTATAATTTGGAGTTTTATGGTTAATCGATCGAATATATTTTTATCGAAATTACTTGAAAATTTTAGAAAATATTCTATCGATCGGTCTGCCAATTGGAATGCACTGTGGTTGGTCTAGCTTCACCAAGTCTAAAATCGATGCTTTTTTCAGTTGCTCTCGAGGTCATTTCAACTCTAAAATGGATGCTTTTTTCAGTCGATGGTACAACTAACCCAATCACACTATCCCACAAGTTAAACACTTCCTAGAATCAAATCACTTCTTTTTTGCCTTGCACTCTCTATTCTCCTCAACATCATGAGTAACCTTACTTAATTAGGATTCCTTCACATTTACCAAATGATCTATAACTCTTATGAACGAGCATTCTTCCACATTTGAAGGTTGTTTGACAACCTTAAACACATTAAAAGTCTTATTCTCAACATTTACTCTCAGTGTAACCTCTCCCTTTTTAATATCAATCAATGCTTCAGCAATCGCATCCCCAAAATTATTCCACAATAATCTTCAGCTTCATAATCCAAGATGATAAAATCAGTTGGAATGAAAATATTATCAACTTTGATAATGATGTCCTTTATTTACCTTCTGGATATACTATCAATCGGTCTACCGACTAGAGTGAAATTATGGTCGGTCTAGTTTTACTAAGTCCTAATTTTTGAAAAATTAATAAACACGTCATGTTGATACTTGCTCTCAAGTCGTACAATCCTATCTTGTCAAATTTTCTAATTTTGTAAGGTGGAATGAAACTCCTTAGATCATCTTTCTTCACAGGTAATTTGTTTTGAATTATTGATGTGCAACTGTTCGTCATTGCAATAGTCTCAAACTCTCTCTAAACTCTTTCTTTGTAAGAACATTTTTCATAAACCTAGCATATATACGTATTTGTTTCAAAGCTTCAACATAAAAAAAAGGATGTTGATATGAAGTTGAGAAAGGATCTCGAGAAACTTCTTGAATTGTCCGTCATCAATTTTGGAGTTATTTACCTAGGTGGGAAAGGCAAAGTTGTTGGTGTTAGTGTTGCAGCAGTTCAAACTGATGGGTTTTGAGATAAAATATAAGTTTGTTTTTCACAAAAATCGGCAACGGGAGACTTTAAAAAATAACAAGTTTATTTTTAGGTCATAATAAAACCAAACCATCATGGATCCATTTATAGATGTTAGAATGAAATAAAAAACAACCAAAAAGCTTTTTTAGAATGACAAACTTTGAAGTCTTTGAACCCACCTGGTTTTGGGGTGTTGATAAAGATAGCAAAAAATCAAAGAGTATGATTTTCTCTATGTGTATCCACCATCAAGAGCAAGGCACTTGGAATGCTAGTTGTTTCTTGTATTCTTGAGTGTCTTAAGCCTTTAAGTGTTTAACTCAAATAAGCACTAAAGGAGACAACTCAAGAGGTCTTTTAATCACCAAACTAGCGTCAAAAGAGAGAGAGGTGGGGAGTAGAAGAGAGTTTCGGCCATGACTTCTTTTTGAGAGAAAAGATCATCAAAAATGCAAGCAACCACTCATTTATATAGTCCATGCAAAAGCAAAGCTATACCATATAATAATATAAAGTATTAACTAGCTTTTAGAAGCATGGGGAGCATAGGAGGGAGGTTGACAAGCAACCTCCCATGCTTGAAAGCATTTTCGGCCAAAGACAAAAGAAAGAGACAAAACTTGTCTCCTAACT